AAAAGAAAGTTCCGAAATGAAAGATTTTTCCTTCTTCGTTTGGCAAACAGCTGCTCTAATCAATATTTCGAATTGAATTTAAACGGTCACGTATCGCGGCCAAACTTTAAAATATCCTAGAACTTCAGCGAGCTCCCAACCTTAAATATCTATAAATTTTCATAACATAACCTAAATAACTATAAAGTATTCCGTCTAAACCTAACATAAACCTAACCTATGTTAACCTAACCTTAAATATCAATAAATTTCCATAACATAACCTAAATAACTATAAAGTATTTCGTCTAAACCTAACATAAACCCAACTTATGTTAACCTAACCTCAAATATCTATAAATTTCCATAACACAACCTTAAAAACTGTAAAATATTTTGTCTAAACCTAACATAAACCTAACCTATGTTAACCTAACCTTAAATATCAATAAATTTCTATAACATAACCTAAATAACTGTAAAGTATTCCGTCTAAACCTAACATAAACCTAACCTATGTTAACCTAACCTTAAAAATATCTATAAATTTCTTTACGTTACGACGAAATAAAATATTACATTGCGGCAATAAAAAGAAAGTTCCGAAATGAAAGATTTTTCGTTTCTTCGTTTGGCAAACAGCTGCACTAATCAATATTTCGAATTGAATTTAAACGGTCACGTATCGCGGCCAAACTTTAAAATATCCTAGAACTTCAGCGAGCTCCCAAACCGATTATCCTTCCCTATTTACGCCTCATTTCGCGTCGCGCGCAATTCCGAAATCAATTCACACATCATAAAAGTTGAAAACTTCTTCAACTCAACATTTTCTCCGCTCCGATTATTTCCAGCAGCAGCAACGCTATTACGTCATTTGCGTTGCGGTTTTCTCCACATCCGAAAACTAATTAATACACCATGTGTGTATCTTTCTCTCCTTTTCTCTCTCACACACACAGAAGTTTTGGAAACTGTCTGAACATTCCTGCAAAACGCTTATGCAACACGCTGTGAAAACGACAAGGTAAAGTTCGTCGCCGCCTAGATGTCTGCTGAAAAGCGTATAATTTATTGTCCCTGAAAACAAAAAGTGTTTTCAGTTGTTTTAAGTTTGCGCTTTTCTTCCTTGTCCTTGCGTCTTTTTACAGCTTCAAGATAAGAGTTATGGACGGTACCGACACGTCACAAACCTATTTGTTCTTTGTCTTGTTTTATCAGGATTTTCAACAGAATCAGCAATAAGTTTCAATTCAGACAAATACAACTGATTTTCATATTAGTTTTTTGTTTTATTGTATTTACGTAACTCTCGTTTGTTTTCAGCGAAAACACGATCGATAATTTCGTGCATGCAAACAGTTAAAAAAAAACCAGCATAAATCTCTAATAAAATCCCATTTTTATTATTTGTAAGCAAAATCAGACTTTTTTATTGCGACAAGTATTTAAGTATTATTTAATTTTCATAAAATTAAAGTTCATTTATAAATTTTATCATAATCTTGTCAATAGTTGATTATAAAGAGGACTACTTGTTACTTTAGTAAGGAAGATTTTAGTTCACTTGTATCAATTTAAGTGTTACTTGTTAAGTAGTTTGTAGTAAGAGTAAAGAAATGATGTGTTTGTAACTTACTTGTTCAAGTACGTGCGTTTCGAACTTTGCCAATCCGATGATCGCAGCCAAGTAGGAAGCGCACGTTCCAATACTTAGGATGATGCAGTATCTGAGCCTGAGAGGAAGAGTGACGTAGATGAGGTAGTCGAGCAGGAGGACCCAACCTAAGCTATCCCTTGAAGTGACCTCGTTCTTCTTGAGGAAGAGTGAGGCGAGGAGCTGAGCGTTAGCCAGATGCCAGCAGATGTGAGGAACGGCAGGCCAAATAGCGCACTTCTGCATTCCCCGTTTGCACCAGACGAGGAGGCAGCAGTTGGCCGTGAGGAAGGCGCTCATGATCGCGAAGACAAGAGCGTCTTGTCCGCTCGGCACCATCAGCATGTAGAGGTCGAAGAGGATGGCCGTGTGCAGGAAGCATTCGAGTCCGGCGCGCTTCTGTCGGACGCTGTAGCTCTGGTAGAGCTTCTCCAGGTACGAATCCCTGAACGAACTCCAGATCAACTTCGAGCGGATCTTGCCCTGCATCACCACTTGCTGACCGTCGCCCATCGTCCTCCTCTCCGCCCTGCTGCTGCTGCTACGTATCCTCACCTTGAAATGTCCGTCACTCCCCGACCTCCTCGATCATTCCGCACGCGAACCTCCTGCAAATACAACAAACAAACAAACACAAAATTATATCACCAGCAACAACAAAAAGAAGCCGCAATTTAAACATCATTCGCAGCGCAATTACAAAACAATTAATTAATAGAGAAACCGTTCGTAAACACGTGCACTTCGAAATCTGAAACTAAAAGAATTCCGTCTCAAAACGAAATGCACAATATTCAAATATACATTGATCGGAGGCGGCTGTAATTAAACAATCGAGGATCGTTTGCTGAGGGGTGGAGTCTGCCTCCAAGTGGATGTCGGGTCGTTAGTTGAATTATTTGCGCTCAATTAATTTCGGTTTCGCCGAAATTAGAATATACACAGAAACTGGTTCAATTTAAATTTTGCCAATTAAATGCACAAATCATTATTATTTTTTCATATAATCTTAATACGCAATTAATTTCAGTTGTATTTGAGAAATATCAAGTAGTTTTGTTTATTTTGAGTTTAGGTTAGGATAAGTTTAAGATTTGTTAGGTTAGGATACGGTTAGAATAGATTCAGTTAAGTTTAGAATTGTTTGGTTAGAATAGATTTGCTTGGCTTAATTTAAGTTTATTATTTATAAATTAGCTTAGGATAAGTTTTAAGTAGATTAAGGGTTCTTAGATTAGGTTAGGATAAGTTTACGATTTGTTAGGTTAGGATAAGTTTAAGATTAGTTAGGTTAAGATAAGTTTAGAATAGATTCAGTTAATTAATTAATTAATTTAAGTTTATGATTTCTAAATTAGCGTAGGATATGTTTTATATAGATTAAGGGTTCTTAGTTTAGGTCAGGATAAGTTTAAGATTTGTTAGGTTAAGATAAGTTTAGAATATATTCAGTTCAGTTTAGGATCGTTAGAATAGATTTGCTTGGCTTAATTTAAGTTTATGATTTCTAAATTAGCTTAGGGTAAGTTTTATGTAGATTAAGGGTTCTTAGATTAGTTTAGGATAAGTTTAAGATTTGTTAGGTTAGGATATAAGATTTGTTAGGTTAGGATAAGTTTAGAATAGATTCAGTTAAGTTTAGGATCGTTTGGTTAGAATAGATTTGCTTGGCTTAATTTAAGTTTATTATTTATAAATTAGCTTAGGATAAGTTTTAAGTAGATTAAGAGTTCTTAGATTAGGTTAGGATAAGTTTAAGAATTGTTAGGTTAGGATAAGTTTAAGATTTGTTAGGTTAGGATATGTTTAAGATTTGTTAGGTTAAGATAAGTTTAGAATAGATTTGCTTAGCTTAATTTAAGTTTATGATTTCTAAATTAGCTTAGGATAAGTTTTATGTAGATTAACGGTTCTTAGATTAAGTTAGGATAAGTTTTTTATTATATTTTTGGGTAGATTAGATTTAACATAAATTTAGTTAGTTTATGACACATTTCAAATATGTTAATTTTACTTAGTTTACTATGAAATCAATTTATAATTATTAAGAAACCAATAAAGTGCGAAAAATTCAATTTCTAGTAGGCTCGTTTTTTTTTTCTATATCAGTGTAACAGTGAGTATCATTTCGGTTTTATTGAATCCCAGATTCAACAAGGAACATGATTTCCACTCAACTCGAACCCGTTGTACTTCGTTAAACTTGCGGACTCATCAGAAACTGGGTTATATTCATGTCCGACACAGAAGACTCGAGAGGGTCGCAATCCGGAAAATCCCCTTTTTTTTCCATTTAGCAAAAAAAAATGTGATATGAGAAAGATTTTGATTTGTACACTGAAAATGAAGAATATTACTGAAAAAACACGTATATAGGAATCATATAAGTTTAAATTTTGAAAGAATAATCAATTATTTATTGATTTTATATTAGATTTTATTTGATTTTGCTATAATCTAGTTTGAATAATGTTTTGGATCAATTAATCAATTTTTATTCTTTATAGAAAAACTTCAATTTTTCTTTTAAAAAAGTTATTTTTTTCTATAATTCCATTAATAGGACAAACTGTAGTAAAATTTCAATAGTATAACTAAACGTTAAGTGTTTTTATAATCATTTATTAAAAGAAAGGTTTCAATTTTAGCAACAAATGTTTAATTTTACAAATTGTAAATTTTTAGAAATTTTTATGTAATTTTTTTTAAGTTTCTTAATGATAAATATTACGAAATAATAGAATAATTAACTGATGATTGATTTGAATACAAATTTCATAGATCTTTGATGTTATTTTGAACAATGTTCGATTCACCAAAGTCACCGATAATTACGTTTTGCTTTCGGACTAATCGAGTGGAAACCCTAAGATTAAAGGGGAAGACATTAAGTTTCTCCTTGTGTTTCTCCAGGACTTAGAACGATGCACGTATATTTGCGTCCAAGATTACGTTATTAATTGTACACAAAACGCACACAAAGCACGAGAGAAGGGAAGGATTTCGTCTTCGAAGTTCAATACCAAAGTTAATTAACCGAAATCTAAAGGTGAATACCTACATTTATCCATTAAATGTACACAATTTATACTAAAGAGAAATTATTATGCAAAAACTTAGTCTGCTTACAAATAGTTAAATCAATATAGTAAAATAGTTAAATTACAATTTTGTTAGATTTCGTTGAAAAATCTTTAAAAAAAAGTATAAAATATAAGAGAATATTAAATAAACCATTATAAGAAAATAATAAAGATTATAATAAATTTATACAAGAAATGAAATAAGTAAATCAAATAAGGCACGGAAATGTAACTAAACGAAAGTTTAACTAAATCTCGGTGGATCTCATTTACAAACCACCAGAGACGATCAAATACTTCTTTTTATCTTATTCTTGTACGTCAATTGAGTCAATCAACTCGGGAGAAACGCTGTTCAAATCCAGGGCTTCTTTCTCATTATCGAAGGGATTTTTTTTCCATATCCCTTTGTTCCTTGTTTTCGTATTGATCGTTTTTTTTCTCTTCTCCAATTTGTTTATGGTAATCAAAGAGGAAGCTCCAATAAAAGTAATATTAATGATAGAAAAAAGAGAAACTGTGTGAACATAACGATTTTCTCTTCGGTAATAATACTCTGCGCTAAGTGCACATTAATTAGTGACCGTAGTCATTAGTTATCAAAGCTTGTAATAGACGAACGATACTAATTAATATGTCCGAGTCGAGATGAAACTTTTCCTCCTATTTGATATTTTAATCTTATTATATTGTAATGAATTTACACGTTTCATAAATCCCTAATTTCATTACTAAATTAGTATACTTTTTATTTAAATACAATTTAGAAATGTGTATGATCATAAAATCGATTTGTTATGTAGTTATTTGTAATTAGGTGCAGAACGTTTATAATTAATGAATGTATTATTAAATGTGTGTTTTCGTTGAATAAACATCATAATTAATAGTGAATTATTAAGGATAAAATATGTTAAATGTGAAATTTTCACGTTTTCTATTGGATTACTACTTAGATGCATGCTTAGTTGCTAGAATCATTAACAAAAAAAGGATGAAAATGAACGTGCATGAATTTGGATTTGTTTTTCTTTGAGTTTCGTGCAATTTATTTATAATGTAAATACCGGGGGGCGGCGAACGTGAAGAAGTATCGCAACGGATCGCACGTGTGTTTATCAACATGTTTCCGTTTGTAAGATGCGTCCGTCGAGCTTTTCGGTTAAGATTTTTTGTAGTTTTTTCGGTGGTTGTTGTTGTTGTTGCTTCTGCAGAAGTAGCGGCGAAACACGCAGCGTACACCAACACTCTGTGAACGGCGCGCGTGTATCGATCAAAAAGGATTTGAGGGAATACGAAGTGTGGCGGTCGCAGAGCTGGAGGCCGATCCGGAGCGGCGGTTCCGGGCACCGGAGGAAACTCACTGGAACCCAGAGAGAGAAGACCCGGAGTCTCAACCCCGGAACAGCGGCGGTGGTGAAAAGAGGGAGGCGCACGCGCCCCGCCGCCCCCCAAACCTACAGCCGCCTCCGACAAGCGACCGTACAACCAAAAAAAGAAAAAACGATCGCAAAATTTATATATTTTTCATACAAAGTACATGGAGAAACGTGGATACATGGATACAGACTATAGACTATGGGGCACGATTTTCAAAAAACGTTATTTTCCCGCCGATCGAAAGAACGCATGACCTATTGTCTCATTGTTTCACACTAGCGTTGTTCTTTTGTTTTTATTTAATCGCAATTTATGAAATTTTCAGCGATTTTCAATAGGAACGTGCAACAACGCGGATTTCGGTCGCAATTAAAAAGTGTAAAAAAAAAAACGTCAACGCGGCAATAAATCAATGTTGACACAAAACGTTATGCCCGTATCCGTTCGCCGGATAACGCGATTTCATTGCAGTTATGCAACAACGTTTGTTTTTTTTTTTTTTTTTGGTGCTCATTTTTGAAAATATCGATTTAGCTTCTGAAAACAATGAGTTTTATTTACAAATTTCTGCGTAATTCATTAGTTAAAATAAATTTTTTTTTTTATATGAAATAATGGATAAAGTTGTAATGATTTTGTTGTATAAAAAAAAAGTAAAAACAAAATTTTCGCAGTATTTTCAAAACGTTAAAACAAACAAATAAACAATTGAAATCAACAGTTTGTAAATGATAAAGCTTAAAAATAGATATTTTTATATAGTAAACATTTATTTATCAAAAAAAAAAAACAATAAATTATCAATAACAAAACTTAATCATGTCTCTAGATTGAAATGAGGAAAGTATAATAAGATTAGTCGTTTCATCTTGTTTGTTAGAAAAATACGAGATGTTAAAGTCGGAATTGCTCGGAATAATGACTTTTCTTTTCTGTGAAAGATTTTATGCGAAAATAATCGTAAAAAAGAGCATTTATGAAGTATCGTAGCTAACAGACTTAAATAATAAAAAAAAACTATAAACAATTAATGTTCATACATAATTTCTAGATAATTGTAGAATTCTTTTTTAGACACGAAAAAAAATCAAAATATCCATGATTGTTTTAAATGGTGGATGCGCCGGGTTTACAAGGAAAATATAATAAAAATCAACGTTTCTTTGATTTTCAATTTCATTTATTTTTCAATTATGATATTGATATAATGAATTATTTAAGCATAAATTGGAGAAAAGTCTGAGTTTAGCATTAATGTTTAGTAAATTTAGATGAACTAATTTAAATCGGGCGAGTGGATACATGCACGAGGCTGACCCTTTTCCTATGTTGGGACAAGTTTGAAGTGCTTTCACCAGATCGTGTGTGTGTGTGTGTTCTAGAGAGAGAGATAAATTTGAAAGGTTTCTCACTTCGTGCATTACATCAAATGCGTTTGCTTCCTACCAGCATCGCTCTATTCCTCTCTCTCTCTCTCTCTCCGTCTCTCCCATTGAAAAACACATCACCAAAGCCCACCCTGATGGCGTAGAATTTGATTGAAACACAGCGGGGAAAAGAAAATCTGGGGTTTTCGCATCCATCCGGGATGCGACTGGAATTAGGGAAATATCACGTTCGAATTAGAACGGTCGAAGGTAAACAAGCGGAATTAGATGGGCGCACATATCAAATGCAAGCAGCATTTCACATATTAAAAAAAAAAAGTTGACAATTTTTTTTGCTATCGACCCAATTCATTTATTTTATTTTTAGTCGTCAAATAAAGGGAATTAGCTGGAAAACGGAGATCCTTCGAACTGGAAAATTGCAGCAGATGTGATAAATAGAGAGAGAGAGAAAGAGTGAAAGAGGAGGACGAATGTGGACTGTTTCATTTGTTTCGGATTTCGACGCAACGTGATTAAAAGTGGGGAATTTAATAAACTTGATATCTCTTCGGCTTTCTTTTTTTGCTTTGGATTAACGTTTCTCAATTTCAATGAGTTTATTACGCTACAGTTTCAATTAAACATAAAATATCATGGAAACATGAAAATTTATACTTTTTATTTCATTAAATCATCTGTAATTGTTCATATTTTCTCTCTTTCTATATTAAATTTATTTACATTAAACATAATTGTATTTTTCTTTTCAATTGTGTTCAATATTTTGATATAAAAATTACTGAAAAAATCATAAATTTCTATAATTTTTCAGTATTTGTTGAGATTCTATTAGTTTTCACTTGAAATTTTGAATCTTTACTACTAAATTTCTATTGTCGAATTAATTTGAAAATAAATTTTGGAAATATTTGCAATATTTTGATATAAAAATTACTGAAAAAATCATAAATTTGTATAGTTTTTCAGTAATTGTTGAGATTCTATTAGTTTTCACTTGAAATTTTGAATCTTTACTACTGAATTTCTATTGTTGAATTGATTTGAAAATCAACTTGGAAAAGTGCAATATTTTGATATAAAAATTACTGAAAAAATCGCAAATTTCTATAATTTTTCAGTAATTGTTGAGATTCTATTAGTTTTCACTTAAAATTTTGAATGTTTACAGCTGAATTTCTATTGTCGAATTATTTTGAAAATAAATATTGGAAAAAAGTGCAACATTTTGATATACAAATTACTGAAAAAAAATACTGTAATTCATGAGATTCTTTCAGTTTTCACTTGAAATTTGTTTAATTGTTGAGATACTGTTAGTTTTCACTTGAAATTATGATATTTTTCCAACAAATTTTTTAACATGTTTATAATTCTTGTAATTTTACAAACACAAATTTGAACTAATCTTTTAATCAATAAAGAAAAATCAGTTTCAATTTAATCTTCTAATAATCTTTCTGTACTCAATTTTTGTATCTTTTTAATACATATTTGATCACGTCTATTACTACAAAAAAAAACACATAATAACAAATTGATTCAAAGCAATATCGAAATGGCCTTATAATTCGTCCCAATTTTATTCCACAAAACTCTTTCTGCGCTCAACTTTTGCTATGTTTTATTTACAAACTTCTGTCTCAATCCACTAAATCTATTTTTAAACCATTCAGTGAAAAATCTATAAAAAAAACAATACGAATTGAATGAAAGTAGAATCTAATTATATACAGATTTATACTCGGATTGTTTGGATGAAAACTGTGTTGTGCAACGAACGTCGTGCATCGAACCTAGGCCTAGGCGTGTTGCTTTTTGGTAGGCGAAACGTAAGCGAAAACTTGCGAAGGGCTCGGTTTCGGTTTGGATCAATATTACCCGCATCTCTCTTCCTCTCATCCGAACGCCGCATCTCTCTCTCTCTTTCTCTTTCGCACCCTTCGAGGAGGTGGCTGTGCAACCACCCTTCATCATCGTCCGGGCAAAATGCTTAACTAACACACTCGCCGTAGAACAAATCTATTTGTCCTAAACTTGAAATAATTGAATATTTCTTTTTTGCCGTTTTTTCATACACTTCGTTTTCGCCATCACTTCAAAGGGTTTTCCATGTGAAGTGTAATTAAAAGTGTACTCCTTTATTATTTTTTTTGTTTGTTTACATACGTCTCCTGTTTCAAAAGCAACTTTTGAAGTAATTCCACTAATTAAAAACGTTTGTATTTATCTTTCACAATTTATTTATTTGTGATTCATTTAGAGAAATTATTAATTATAAAATGCGTCCTTTTTTCAAAGAAATTTACGACTTTTATATTTCTTCAATGTTTTACATGTAAATACGAAATTTATACTGATTTTAAAACAACAATTAATTGCATATTTCAATTCATGAAAACTATCCACTTAGTTTATTTTCTTAATTAACTACGTTTGAAACTAAAATTGTAATACGTTTATATTTTATTCTATAACTTAATGATTAATAAAGCTACAATAGAAACTAAATATGCAAATTAAAGCTTAATAATTGGAGAATATATTATATTAATTGAAATTGTAGTAAGATCTGTGATTTTCAAGAAATTGTCTTTCATTTTTTTTGTAATTTATGTAATACATTTTACCAAATATCTTCATGATTGATTAAGCTTCAATTTAAGTTAAATATACAAATTAATCTTATAATATAGTGTATTATTATAAAGATTAAGAATTAATCATATAATTAATAATTTTTGTAAAATTAATTTTCAAAGTTTGAAGTAATAAATTATTTTTACATAAGTTTAGTTTTAATTCTAAATCTCGATGATTTATGTAGCTACAAGGGAAAGTCAATATAGAATTGGAAGTTAAATAATTGGAGAATATTATGTTAATGAAAATTGTAATAAGATTTACGAGTTTCGTGTAATTTTCATTAAATTAAACACTCTTTTATAAATTATGAAATACCTTTACATTTTGATAAATATCTTGATTACTGTTAAAGTCAGAATGTAAACTGAATAGTCAGATGAAAGACAAACATCTGAGAAATATATTGAGTGTAATGGATTAATTCTGCTATTAATAATTTACGAGAAATTAATTTTTAAAATTTGAAGTAATAAATTATTTTTACACATGTTTAGTTTTATTTCTAAATCTCGATAATTTATGTAGCTACAATGGAAAGTAAATATGAAAGTGGAAGTTAAATAATTGGAGAATATTATGTTAATGAAAATTGTAATAAGATTTGCGAGTTTCGTGTAATTTTCATTAAATTAAACACTATTTTATAAATTATGAAATACCTTTATATTTTGCTAAATATCTTGATTACTGTTAAAGTCGGAATGTAAACTAAATAGTCTAATGAAAGACAAATATCAGAGAAATATTTTAAGTGTAATGGATTAATTCTGCTATTAATAATTAACGAGAAATTAATTTTTAAAGTTTGAAATAATAATTTTGTATACATTTTGTTGTATAACTCGATATTATTGAAAGTCTTACAAAAAAATAAAAATTTGATTAAATTTATGAAATGAATTAAGAAAGTTCAGCTTTTTAGTGAAAACATGGAATAAGTGATATTGGAGCAATGGGCGAAACAAAAGACAAATAGTTCTGAAACAATTGCAAACATCGACGACGACGTTGATTTCAACGTCACGTTCGTCATTTCCGCTTAGATAACGGTTGAGGTGTCTCGACATAACCTAAATTTCTTGTTTTGAACAAAAGAATGTAAATTATGTAAGATTCCAACAATTCAATCAACAGATTCTCAAACTATTGATTAAATTGTAAAATTGTATTGATTTAATGGAGTTTAGTATGTTTTTTTGTAAATAACAGATGTACAAATCTTGCTTTATCCGTAATCTCTTTGGATTTACTCCAGTATTTTCAGTAAACCCTTAATAGTTATGACCGTGTCACACAGTGTATTTGTATTTGTATAGTGGCGTTGTTCAAGCTACAGCAAATTGCTTTCAGCCCGAAGATATCCAAAAAAACATTATTTAGGTCGTAAACAAAGTGAAATAAACTAACACATTTTACTCGTAAACTTCCATTGTTTCATAACAAAACAAAACAACAACAAAAAACAAAATTCGTTTATGCAACAATTAATCAAATTACGGTACTTACGTCATCCCAATTAATCGGCACTCTTCGATATCGTTTCCACTGATTTCGAGCTGTTGTTTTCAATCACGCCCACTCGAAAAACCCTTATCTAACAACTATTGTCCGCAAACCAAAAAACTATTGTTCACTACACGAAATATGTTAATTTAACAACAATTCAACTTTTCCGAGCTACGATTCAAAGCACACTGAAAATATGCGACAAAATTCTCTGCGGAAGCAGCGATTTATCATCGACGATAACGCAGCATTATCGTTCGTTTCGCAGTCACAGAAAAAAAAAAGCGTGAAATTGGAATCAACGGTGCGAAATTTGTTTAAAATTTATTTTCAAATCATCTATAAATCTTTTCTTTTAACAACAATAATTATAATAATTTGTTTAAAAAATATTATTTTTTTTTGTACTTTTTTGCCATGTTTTCTATCCAGCTCCAAAAATTAATCGATTCAAACTAAAATAAGCGCTTTCCTTCTCTATTCAATTAAGCGCAAGCGTTTCAGTTTTCTTGTATTTCTTCAGCGATTTCTACTTTGTAGCCGTACTCTTTGAGGCTTCTAAAGTAGTCCTCGTCTTTAAGCAGTTGCATTTTCCAGGCGCGATTGTCGAAAGTCCCGTTCGTTCCTCCGTATTCCAACGGGAGGATTTCAGTGTTAAGGAAAGCGTGTAAACTAGTCAAGTCGTTTCCGTGTAAATAAATCTAAAACAAATTATGAAATTAATTGCAATAAATTAGATTATTTCTTTTTGTTACCCTTTTCCTGATTTTCTCCTTCATGAACGGTTTCAATACGGCCATAATGGCATCAAAGTAGAAAGGCTCGTTGACCACGTGGAAGCCCTTGAATCTAAGCGGAAAAGTCTCTTGGACTAATTCCACCATTTTCTTCGCGTAATAAGGTGTGAAGAACTTGGCGTGATTCAAACTCAATCCTGCCATGTCCAGGACGACGACGAGTCCGGAAATTTGCGTTTCTGGTTCTCGTACGATCTGCTCCAAAGCCATGATGTTCGTCCTGAAGATGTCGTCAATTGTCACCTTACTGGAATCGAAATTATCTTTTTTCGCGGAAAAACAGTTTGTTTACAGTTCATCTTGTCTCTCTACTAATTTACCGACTCGTATCACGTAGATGCGTCTTCCGTGCTGATCCCTGTCCGAAAGCATCGTTTGGGCTTGAAGCTCGAAAACTGTTTCTATCTCGGATGGTAGAGGGCATTGGAACAGCTCCGGACACTTCAGTTTCATCAAGTAGTAACGCTGAAGCTGAAGATTTGTGATGTTAGTGTTGATTTGAGTAAAGAAATTTGGATTTTTTTTACCATGTTGAATGCTTTTTTATTGTCGAATTTCCTGGCCCTGAGGAAACGCGTGAGGAATGCATCTTCTTTGGGCACATTTAGATTAGTATCATCTGAAATATGGAAAAAATCAACTATATAGTCTCAGTTTCTTTTAATTTATAAATTAATTGAACTATTACTGTGAAATTATGGTATGCAGTTTGTATGTAGTTAGTATAGAGTTGATGTATATTTGGTATAAAGTTAGTATGTAGTTAGTATACAGTTGATGTATATTTGGTATAAAGTTAATATGTAGTTAGTATAGAGTTGATGTATATTTGGTATAAAGTTAGTATGTAGTTAGTATACAGTTGATGTATATTTGGTATAAAGTTAGTATGTAGTTAGTATACAGTTGATGTATACTTGGTATATACTTAGTATATAGTTGATATAAAAATATATATAAACTTTTTTTTTCATAAATTAACAAAATTATCAAATTTATATCAATTACCTAGTAACCACATACCAGCTACGAGCTAAGTGTATTTCAATTATATATTGACTATATACTAACTATATACCAACTACATTTCAACCACATTCCAAGTACATATAACTAATTATCAACTACATACCAATTAGATAGAAACTATGTACTGACTATATATATACTATATACCAGCTACGAACTAAGTGTATTCCAATTATATATCAACTATATACTAACTATATACTAACTATATACCAACTACTTTTCATAAATTAACAAAATTATCAAATTTCATCATGCACTATTAATTGTAAGTTTAATTACATTCTGAATATGTAAAATACTTTGACTTAAGTCAAAACTTACTCAGGACGAGAGCTTTCAAGGCAGCCAGTTCCTGCTTGTACCTCTCAGGCGTCTCCTTCAGCTCCTCTTCGGCCCTTTCCTGCCATTCCCTGTCCAAACAAGGATACTCGATGGAACCGTGAGAGATCTGCTTCAGAACCTTCGCGATCTGACTGCACTCCAATTTGTCCTCAATATGCATCTGAACGTTACGCAAATATCGATTAATTTCGCCAAAAAAAACACAATTTACGTCTCAATCAATTCAAAAGTAATCAAACATTAAATTTATTAAACTTACGATTGAGTTGATCCTTTTCTTCAATTACAATTTTAATCAATTGTCGTTACTAAACACATCCATTCTTGTTAATATTTACACTTTTTAATCTCTTTTAATCTGCACTATTTGTATTGAGATTTAGTCCTCTCAATGCTTAGTAACGGGGAAAAACGTCGATGCTTTTTGTTTTCCACCCCGTCGACACTCGATTTTCCTTCGAGTTTTAAGCTCACAAACTGGGTTGGAAATCGAAGCGCGCGCATACGTGGGTGGGAAGGGCGGAAGGGGGGGAAAACTCCCCCCTTAGCAACGGACGGGTCGTGCGCGACGGTCGAAGGAGTTTCCATGAATCATAAACTGAATCGCAAATAATTGAAAACCTCGGATGAATTCATGCAATTTCACGCCAATTTTCCACATTTTCTGCATCTCTATTTCCATTTCACTTATGTCCTACTCAAAATATTAAATTAACTATATACTACTTATATACTATGTATCAACTATAAAATAATTTCTAATAAACTATATACTAACTACATACCAACTTTGCACCAAGTATCAGCTATATAAACTTATATAAACTGTACATTAACTATGTACTAACTACATATCTACATACAATACCTAGCAACAAACCAATCACATACCACTACATACCAACTATATACTAACTACATCCCAAGTACATACCACTACATACTAATTGTTATCAACTAACGACATACTTACTATATACTAGCTATCAATTTACATACCAATTCTATACAAACTATATCCCAAGTACATACCACTAATTACCAACTACATACCACTACATACCAACTATGTACTACCTACCTACTTACTATATACCAGCTACGAGTTAAGTGTATTCCAATTGTATATCAACTATATACTAACTACATACCAACTACATTTCAACTACATTCCAACCACATCCCAAGTACATACCACTTATTACCAACTATATACCAATTAGATAGAAACTATGTACCAATTACATATTTACTATATACCAGCTACGAGTTAAGTATATTCCAATTATATATCAACTATATACTAACTACATTCAAACCACATCCCAAGTACATATCACTAATTACCAACTACATACCAAATAGATAGAAACTATGTACTAACTACATATTTACTATTTACTATTTACGAGTTAAGTGTATTCCAATTGTATATCAACTATATACTAACTATATACCAACTACATACCACTAATTACCAACTATATAATAATTAGATAGAAACTATGTACCAATTACATATTTACTATATACCAGCAACGAGTTACGTATATTCCAATTATATATCAACTATGTACTAACTACATTCCAACCACATCCCAAGTAAATATCACTAATTACCAACTACATACCAAATAGATAGAAACTATGTACTAACTACATATTTACTATATACCAACTACATTCCAACCACATCACAAGTACATATCACTATGTATACATATACTATGTATCAACTATAACAAAAATTTCTAATAAAGTATATATTAACTACATACCAACTTTGCACCAAATATACATCAGCTATATACTAATTATTTAACAAACTTATACAAACTGTACATTAACTACATACCCTTTAAATCCTAACAACAAAGCAACCACATACCACTACATACCTATTATTACCAACTATATTCTAAATATATACTACCTACCTACTTACTATATACCAGTTAAGTGTTAAGTGTATATCAACTATATATCAATTATCTAGTAACCACATACCAGCTACATCCCAACTACATCCCAAGTCAAAACTACTAATACCAATTGTTACCAACTACCTACATACTTACTATATACCAGCTACCAATTTACTTACCAATTCTATACTAACTACATCCCAAGTACATACCAGTAATTATCAACTACATACCAATTAGATAGAAACTATGTACTAACTACATATCTACTATATAACAGCTACCAGCTAAGTGTATTCCAATTATATATCAACTATATACTAACTATATACCAACTACATTCCAACCACATCACAAATACATATCACTAAATACCAACTACTTATCAATTAGATACCAACGTCATACCAACTATATACTAATTACATATTAACTATACACTGATTAAATATCAACTACATACTGAGATTCAAACGAACTTCACACTAAATTGGAAAGGATACAAAAATAATTACGTAACGCTTAACAAAATACATGTATTTATATCTAAAACGAATAAACTAAAATGACAAGAAATTCTATAAACAACACCCTACCCTGAAAAAAAAAACAATCTTCGTATCACAGTGATGACTGACTTATATTTAGTTTTATAATATTTATAATGAAGATGAGCGTAAATATTGGCAAATTCTTATTTGTTTTCGAAGATGTAGTTCAAGTATTGGATCTTCTCGACGATTTCGTTGTTCCTAGCGATCAGCTGTTCCGCCAACTTCTCGTAATTAACGTTCAATTTACCACCGTATTCAGTGGGAAGACTGTCGGGATCTATGAAGTTGTGCAGCGAATCCAAATCGTTGTAATGGAATTTCACCTGTAGATCAATTTTTTATTGATTAACTTGTGAAAATTGAAAATTTGTGAAGGTAACTTACGGAATCTTTGATTTTCTGGCTGAGCAACGGCCAAATCAGTTTAAGCGTTGCGCTCATTAAGAAAGAGGTGTTGACTACGTGAAGAACTATATCTTTTACAGGGAGCGTGTCCATTTTTGTTAAACCGAATTTTATGTTGGACGGCGTCAACCATTGAAATAGTTTGAGTGAGTATCCAGAGATGTCGATGATGACGCTCAGACCCTTGCACTGGGTCATCGGATCATCCATGATGGATTCAAGCCAGAGGTCGTCGACATTAACCACTTCCTTCATGGTCACTTTCGATGGATTAATGTTAGCTGAATACAATCACAATCAGCATTAAATGTGGACAACGAGTGGACAAAAGCTCACCTAATTTAACTACGTAAATGCCGCGACCTTCTTTGTCCCTTTGCGTCAGCATCGCACGCATGTTTCTGTACAGTAAACCGCGGTTCTCCTCCGGCGAATTGATCTTGAACCAATCTGGATACTCGTCAATCATTTCATAATAACTAACCATCTGCACAAAGTATGATAGTAATTAGAGAGAAATTATATAAAAAAAAACGCGCTAAAAACTGACCCTCTTTGCAGCCAATTCCACGATGAATTTGCAGCTCTGCAAAAACCTCAGGAGAAAACTATCATCCGTACGCATTTTCTTCAAATTCTCGTCCGCTGTAAACAAAACATCAATCAAAAATAATCTTAGAAATTTTGTTCTGAAAAAAAAAACTTTTTTCATATCAAAATTATAAATTTCTCAATTTGCAACAATTTTATGAATAGTTTAGTTAAAAACAACAGTTTTTACGTCTATTTTTTGATAAATTATTTCATTAATATACATATTTCAAAAGCCATCAAAATATTACATACTTTTCATAATATTTACTACAATTAAAATCATTAACTTTTTGAATATATTAAAAAATACAACAACCAAATATTAAATTTCCATTAAATTAAACTTGATTTTACTTGTTTATATTCAAAGTTATTTCACTTTGCATATGTTGTTAATATAAATTACAAATATTGAAAAAAATTCTAAAAAAATCTTAGTTTTTTTTTAATAATTACAAATTTGTTATTTATTTTAACGATTATCATTAGAAACTATTAATTTTATAAAATTTTCTTATATATTACGCAAGAATTTAAATAATTTTTCATAGAATTTAACATGATTTTAATTGTTTATTTTTGTGTCATTCAATTTAAATTTTTACTTTTTTCTAAATAGGAAACACACGTATTGCTCATTAAATTTTCTATAGTTGTGTTTCAGTCTGGACTCACTCATATGGAACGCACGTGGTAATTGTTAGAAATTATGTTGTGATCGTCGACTTTCTTTGATGACAATAATTACACGTGCGGAAATGATATTCACAAAAATTTTCTCGTAAAAACAGAAATTATTCACAAACAAGGACGTTTTTCGTTATTTTTAATAGAATCTCATCATGAGACAATGAAAAAGAACAAAAAAAAATAATTATAGTAATGAAATTCAAAATATTTCATTAATTGCAAAAAAATAATTGAAGTTTTTTTTAATTTTTTTTTTCAATGGATCATAATTTTTTCCGTTTCAAAACAAAATTTTCGACAATTTTCCATATTTCTTTCATTCCATTAAATTTTTCAATTCCAAAGAAAAAAAATCCATGAAAAGAAAAAAATTGTTACTGAAATTAGTTAATTAGTAATTATTGACTAAATTATTGATTCTACATTTCTATTAGTTAACAAGAAACGAAATCATCAATATAATTATAATTATTTGCAATTAGATTGTTTTTATAAATAATTTGATGAAATATAAACAATTTTCACAAATCTTCAATTTTTCCAAAAAGTCAAAAAAACAAAAAAAGATAAATTACTTTGTTAATGAAGTAATAAAATTCATAAATAATCGTGTAATAATACAGAAAATCGATAAATAATCCTTGAAAACAAGGTAAATTTTATTGACGAAAATATTGTTTTTAAATTAATTAACATTTATAAGTACGTATAAAATTACAATTAATTCTGCACTCTGATGACCATAATTACTAGAAATACACTTCATTATAACGATGTTTATCGCCCGTCTCTAATTGTGTGACTTCAATTGAATTCTCTGTATGTATTGTAACAATTTTTCCCTAATTCCCAGAAATATGAATCGATCGAACGAAAATGAGTAAAAAAAGTAAATTAATTGTTTCATTAATTCCATCATTTACAAATGAAAACACACAATTTAATTACTAGAAACTGAAATATTCTTTTGAGCTTGATCGTGTTTAAGTATTCACTTATAATGGACGTTAATTAAAGTTAAAAAAGTACTTGTTAGCACACGACTATCATTAACCACAACAAGAACGTTAAACTAAGAAAATTACCATGATTTTACACTTTGTACCTAGTTTTTTCTGTTGTGGATGAATCAGCGACGATTATATAAAAAAAAAGTCACTTGACTTTACAAAATCTTGTAATTAAAAGATTATGGAATTGTTTTTAAATAAAAATTGTTGACTTCTTCATATAAAAACAAGAAAAAAAAACTAATTAATATGCAATAATTATAATTACTTTATTGTTATTGTTATCAAGTGGAAGAATATTTACTTAAACGAGTAATTAAGTTTATTACAAAAGATAATTAATTTAAAACGATTTCATTGAAATTCCGGTAAGGACGAAAACAAGGTGCAGTGATTATATATAAATATTTTATTATGTTCGTTGCAAAGTGCAAATGTTTGCAATTTTCTTTAGCAAACGCACTTTGAACGATTATTAAAAATTGCATTTTCAATATCTTATATTTTGCAACAAATTAATTTAGATTATTTTCATTAATTAAATATGAAATACTAGTTTTTCCTTATTAATTACACTTATAAATACTGATGAAGACTGTTCTTTATAAAGTACATTATAATTAAGATTTAGTGCATAATTATAATTACTTTGATTTATTACATATAAATGATGGAAATGATTTATAGTAAAACTACTAATTTGACAACTTATAGCACTTTATACGTTACCACTACGAAAATTTCTATAGACTTGTTGGATTCTGTATAGTTTTTACTTTAATTTGACTATCCAATATCTAATATACCTCTAATAGTTTTCGAGTAATTGCGTAAAATGTGAATATACTACACAAAATTTCCTCACTCAAATTTTCTAATCAAGTTTCACAAAATCTATAAGTGATCTAATAATGATTTTTATAGTATTATGTACTCTATTATTTCAGCTTTAATATTCGTATTTAGTTTAAACTTTAGCTATAGCAGTTTATGAGAAAATCACCAAAAGGTAAAGACTACTAAAAAAAATCATGATTGTAATGTTAAATTACAATAAGATATATAATACTATTAGCCTATATTTTATGATTTTAGCTTTACTACGCATTTTTTCATTAGTCTATAACTAATGTAGTTTACTAGAAATAGATAAAACCGTTTTCGATGATTACACTTTTTATAAATTTCAAATTTGTCACCTTATTACTTGAAAATTGTAAATAATTAAAAAATTGTTGTAAATTCATTTGATTCTCTATTCTTTTCATTTCAATATAAGTATTCAATATCTAATCTAAGTTGATTAGTTTTCGAGTAATCAATAAAAGAGTGAAGACACTTTCTCAAATTATAAAACTTTATTTTTACATCAAATTCTCAACAATTAAAAAAATATTTTCACCTCATTCGATTCTTGATTTTTTCCAACTAAATGTGAGTATCCAACATTTAAATTATTTTTATTAGTTTTCGAGGAATTAAGAAAAAAATTAAAATCGAGTTACGCAAAATCTATTGATTGATACAATAAAGTAAACATCAGTAGTTAGTATATTTTGTTTTGACTTTGAACCTTTGTAGATTATTCAATAATTAATGTGTTGAGAAATGTTTATCTGAAAATTATCTAATTTTCACATAACATAACAGAAAATGCAATAAAAGGAAAACCTTAATCATGATTAAGTAATCAAACATTAATTTTGATCCGACTTTGTCCCGAAAACTTTGGACTTTTTGATATGTATGATCTGATATAAATATGCACATTTATATGTGAAATAATTATAGAAATTTAAATAGAAATTATCATTAATAAAGCATTTTTAAAGCAATTATCACAAAACATATAATTCATATGTTAATTAGCAGTTAAATATGCTTTATTAATTTAGCTTCAATTTTCATATTTAGTTTTGTCTATAACTCTTTTAGTTTATGAAAACTTTACTAAAAGGTAAAGATACTTTTTTGATATAAATAATTTCAAGATTAAAATTTTGACATCAGTTATAACAAAAATTTATTGATATTAGGCTTAATATCCATCATTTTAGCTTCAATAAGAATGTTTGGATTTGTCTTTAACTAAAATAGATACTTTCCAGTATTTATAATGAAATTAGTAGAAACTAAGACACTTTTTATTTCTAAAATTTTTCTTCTTTTTTTTTCGAATTTGACAACTTTTTATATGAAAATCGTCAATAGTACAGGAAATATTACAGGCCATTCGATTTTTTAATATTTTCAATTTAATTTGAGTATTCATTACCTAATCTACCCTTATTTAGTTTATTTAGTCTAATCAATAAAAATGTAAAGACCGTTTTTCAATTTACAAAAAAAAATATTTTTTATAATTTTTTAAACAAATTTTCTACTAATCAATAATTATTGTTGCTCATTCGAATCTTTATTCATTTCCAATTAATATGAGCGTCCAATATCTTATCTACCTTTATTAGTTTTCGAGTAATCAATGAAAATATGAAGATAATATTTCAATTTGCAAAATTTTTATATTTATAATTTTTTAGTTATATTTTCGAGTATTTAAAAAATGATTGTATTCTCATTGGAATCTCCATACTTTTAACTTTAATATGAGCATTCAATATCTAATCTATCTTTATTTGTTTTCGAGTAATCAATGAAAATGTGAAGACACTTTTTCAATTTCCAAAATTTTTATTTTCATAACTTTTCAATCAAATTTTTAAATATAGAAAAAGCATTGTATATTCGATCGATTTTTTTACTATTTTCAATTAATTATGAAAGTCTATCTATCTAATCTACTCATTAATTAACAATTTTGTCACTTTTTAGGAACAAAATTTTTACTTTATTGAATTTTCTATTGTAATCTTAGATCTGTTGATTTTACGTTCAAAATGTTTAATTCTTGATGAAAATTTTGTTAAAGAATTGAAAAGTATTGTAAGCGAAAAACAATAAAATAAATGGACATTACCTAACACCAAAGTTCTCAACTGTTGAACCCTTTCTGCAATATCGTCCCTCGTGAGTTCGTGTCCTTCATGATCGACAACCTGAACATCGATCGGTATCATCTTGTATCCTTCTATATTCTTCTATTTTCAAAAGGGAGATGAAACAAGGGAGACTAATGGAAAACACGCTGGTGCGACGATGTTCGTCGTGTGTGTATCTAGGAGCGTTTGTTGTTTGTCCGAACGAAAACACCTTGGTTATATGCATCATGCTGATGGTTCGTTTCGATCGGAAACCGTGTGTGAGTGAGTGTGAGCATGTGTGACGTCCGAACGAATTGCTTCTATTTGTTACGTTTTATTTCGTTTACCCGCTTTGTTTGATTTTCTTGCAGTGTCAATCGTTTCTGGGTCGTTTTCGGTCTTCGTAAGGTAGACACGACCTTCAGATTCGTGCACTTAACTCAGCTGTTATTGAAGAACGGAGAACGATACAAGAATTGTGTAAATGCGAGAGAAAGAACGACTTACTCAATGTCATCCGCATTCGGTGTTCGCGATACGTGCACTTCATTGACGATCAAAAACACTGTGTTAAATCATTAATTTATATGCAATGAACGTGCACATATAGTGTCTTCATAATTAATCTTCATGACATCTTTAAATAATCATTTTTTTTTACAATTTAAAAACCCTCAAATTTCATTAAAAAAGCAAATTATGTAAATTTATTACAATTAGCAATTATGAATATTTCTAATTGTTGTTATAAAATTGTAATGAAAAGTAAAACAAAAGTAAAACAAATGGAACTTAAGTAAATTTATTACAATTAGCAATTATGAATATTTCTAATTGTTGTTATAAAATTGTATGAATAAAGTAAAACAAAAGTAAAACAAAAGTAAAACAAAAGTAAAACAAAAGTAAAACAAAAGTAAAACAAAAGTAAAACAAAAGTAAAACAAAAGTAAAACAAAAGTAAAACAAAAGTAAAACAAAATAAAATATTTAGTAAGTAAATCATTAACTAATTTATGAATATTATTCATGTTGTTCATCTTAATTCTCATAAGTTTATTTTTTTTTGCATTTCAAGCAAATTTTGAAAATTTCTTACATAAAAAGACATTAATGTAATGAAAAAATTCTTCTAACAATAAATTAACAACAAATAAAATAAAATTTCCAAATTGAATTCTATAAATTTCCTACATTTTAAGCACATTTCTGTACATTTCTTCCAATAAATCATCCATTTATTTCACGAATTCTTCTATTAATAGATTAATAACTAATTTATAAACAATAGTTAGAATTATTCGTTTTTTTTCATGTTTTAAAACCTAAAATTTCTACAAAATGAAATTCTCAAAATTTCGTAACATTTTTTTTGCAATAAAGTGAATTTAAAATTTTTTTTAACAAAAATGTTAGTATTTTTTCCATTTTGTTCAATTCAATTTTTGAATTTTGAAATTCAGAAACCGGACTATAGCGAAACCGCACTATGTGAGTACCAATATTTCAATTATAATTAAAAACCAAAAAAAAACACTTATTTATAGAATTCTATAAGCTGAAATAAACTAATAATTAATAACTAATAAACTAATTTAAAACAAAAACATTTAATGAAACAACAATTAGTCTTAGACTTTAGTTTGTTTGTTTTTTCTACAATAAAACCTGCATTAAAGTTTCCATAACAAATTACACTAAACCGGATTTACTGATGTGAATATAATCAAAAATAACTTTGAGAAAAATTTAAAAAATTGTGCAGAAAATAAATTTTAGTTTAAAGTAGACTTCAGAATTTGCACTTAATTATTAAAAAAAATACACATTTTCGTATTTACTTTATTTTCTGTAAAAATTTGATTAAAAAAATAAACAATTCAAAGAAATGAAAACATTTAATTCTATTATTACAATATTTATTTTAAGACTTTGCTATTGTTTTTTTTTTTGCAATAAAAACAAAAACAAAATGTGCGCCCTCGGAAATGCACACTTTGATCCAAACCTTGTTATTGTTCGTAAATGTTCCTGGAATCAAAGTAACTACTTAACTCTTATGTAAAATGAATAATTCATGAACATTTTCATTGAATCGCAATTAATCGGATGATACTTTTATTAATTAACAAAGAAACAAACAAACAAACAAAAAAAAACGCACTAATAAACAAACGACGTGAGTTATCGTAGAATACAGAGTTTGTGCTAATCGTTAAGTTGATAACCTTCGACATCAGCGGAATTCCCGTGGAATTGTAGCAGAAATTCCCGTCCTCTCTGTGAAAACCCTTGCCTCGGATTCACAGGATAAAAACGATGGATGTGGACGCTGTTTATTTACAAATCAACCTCAAGTTAATAAATCTGCAGAGATGATGAAGATCTTCGCTTTGGTGATGTGTTTGGTGGTGATGGCTGCTTCTTTACCGTTGGATTCTGAGAGGGTCAAAAGACAACTTCCAAGAACCGAGTTCTATCCGACCGTTAAGAAGGATGGAAAATCGACGTTGGCGCGAGTCGATTTGAACCAGATTGGACATAACTACGATGTTAAATCGCATATTCAGAGGTGGGTGGATGGACCTAAGCAGCAGGACGAAGCGAGTTGGGCGATCAATGGAAGTTTTAGGTTTTAGAAGAAAAAAAATTGTATTTAAAAAAAATAAGTTCCTGTTTAATTTTATATAACTAACGTTGAAATATCATTAAAAATCGTTTAAAGTTGAAGAAATACTGTGAAAACTTTAGCTTATTGAAACGTTAGTTGAATTTAAAAAAAAAATAAATATTTTTTTTAATTTAAAACGTTTATTCTTTTGATGATGTAATCTGTCTTTTATCATTGAATCGATGCCAATATTTACATCACATTTAAATTTTAAGAGTGTTCAATATTTATAGGTCAAGTGTTATGTGAATATAATATGTATGTAAATTAATATTATCAAATACAGTTTTTATAGGCAACTTCAATTACTCCAGTGTTTATAACTTTTCCTAAGTATAACTTTTTTTTTGTAATTTGAAAATAATAATATTATTGGAATTCATAATCAATTTACTAATTTATACTGTTATTGTTATAACAAATTAAAAAAAAGTTATTTTATATTAAAATTCTCAAATCAGTTATTATATGCAACTTGAAACTGTAACTTGTATACAAATTTGCATATATTAAAGAACTTTTGAAAATTGAAATTGAATTTTTGTATAAATTTTGTTTGTTGAACAAATTGAATGAATTATTATGGCAATAATTGAAGATTTTGGAAATTTATATAATTTGAAACATGTAAATTTTTCAATTGAATATATATATATATATAT